ATAGTGAATGAATCTTAAAGTCAGATGAAAGTCAGCATCAGCCTTTTCCTGCTTTTGGTGGTGAAAAAACATCCAAAAGATGTCAAGCAGCACACAAAAAAGTAAGCGCAATAATCTGCTAAATTCCCCTGGAGTTATGCATTCACTCTTAACTAATGGAGGAAAAGAAGAGGCACACATACTAGCCATCTGCTTTTTAAAAACTTAGGATTTTTCTCTAAGACATTGGGAAGGGATGTGTGTGTGAGGTGTGGGGAAGAGTAATACCATAAAGAACCAAGGATCCTTCTGTCCTGCTGGGCAGCAGTCACTAGTGCATGCTGCCAGCCACAAAGGCTAGCAGCATCAGCAACAAGAGACATGATCCATGCAAACACTTCCCTTCACGTGGCATTCACTACACCGCACCCAGTTTTGGGCCCTGCAATACAAGAAGCACACTCACAAATAGGAGTAAGTCCAATCAATGCCCAAAACAGCTGGAGCATGTCCTCTGTGAGGAGAGGCTAAGATGGGCTTGTTTGAACCTAAAGAAGTAGTGGCTTTAAGGAAGGAGCTAACAGCACCCCTGCTTCACCATGAAAACAATCCAGCAGAGAGCAGGTTGCCCAGAGAGGCTGTGCAGTCTCCATCCTTGGAGGTTTTAAAGACACTATGGGAAAAAGACCTGAGCAACTCAATCTGAATTCCACACGGTTGCTGATTTCAGGTGAAGGTTAGGCTCACAGACCTCACAAGGCCCCTTTCACCCTGAATGAGTCTGATTTGTGTTTGCTGTCTCTATTATTGCGATGCCACTGAGAAGCAATACTAGGTGTCAGTGTTGTAGGAACACGGTCATGCCCTGCTCCTTTCTGCTGAGCTCTACTACCATTTTTATTCTCAGCAGTCTCTGCATCCTGAAGTGAAAGTGATTCTATTTATATTCATCTCATAAAATGTTTAAAACATCAGAAAAAAACCTGCTTACAATATGAAACAGAGATCTGAGGTGTAAAAGGAATACCGATGCTGTTCTTTTCCTAAGCAGCAGGTGGGCAGAAGTCTTATTTCCATTAAGATGTTAAAGCCATAAGCTTGAATATGTTTTTTATCACTTTGATAACTGTTTTCATGGAGATATGTACAGGTAAAAGCAGGATTTAGTTTTGATTTGTGGCAGTAAGGAAGCCAAGTGAAGAAACATGAAAAATTTCATCATTCTGATATTTAGTAAGTGCTTGGTAAATTTCTTTAATAGGACCTTGAAACTACTAATTTCACAGATTTTTAAGGGAAAAAAACCCACCTTCCAAATAAGTGGGAAGACAACAAAATTTACACTGGAAAGTAATTATTAGGCTTCACACAACAGAATACCTGGACATACCCTCTCTATCATGAAGTTCAGCCACCTATTTTCTTGTGTTTTCCATCCCCAAATCAGAAAACAAATTTTGTTCACTTCACAGCAAAACTTTCTGAAACCAGCTTTTGCCCAGCAAGGAATTCTAAAGGAAAATGAGTGTTTGAAAGAAAAAGCTTCAATTAATAAGTATATACTACTTATTTGTATTGTGGCATAGACAGATCTTGGAAATAATTTTGAAATCTATGCCACCTTAGTAATGATGATATAACTTTTCATAAAAAACACAGGAAAGATGACCTTCTTACAAGTGACATCAGGATGAATGAATGATTTCCAAACCTACCAAAATACTGGTTTGGAATATTAATGGGGTCATCTACTTTACAAAAATGGCAAGATTAAATGCTGACCCGGAAAAGATAGATAGGGAAAAGACAAGATACCGATGTTTGTGGTAACATGACACCTAGTGTTCACTTTCAGGAAGCTTCTGTACTGGAAGATGCCAAATGCTGAAAAAACATCAATGCCCCAAGACTTGCTTTCCAAAAAAAAACTTAGCAAAAAAATATCAGCATCTCTAACCAAGTATGTAAACTACACAGCCGAAGTGAAAAAGCAGGGGATGAAAGGAACAGAAAATCTGCATGTGCTGCATTTGCTTTTCTTATTGAGTACACAATTTGGGTAACTCCAGAAAAGAGGGTTATCCAAAGAAGTTTCACACTGCCTTTTTTTCTTGGGATTTTTTCCGAAAAAAAAAGTCTACTGATAGCTTTTTTTCTGATTGTGTATGGAAGTTATTAGAAAACTGGGTCTACTGCTTATAACAGGTACAAGTTTAAGAGAAAAGTCCCTATTTAAAAAAAAACACAACTACTGACAAGGTTTATTTATACAGAGCAATGGACTGTACATTTATTTCTTCATTTAAAATCCTGGTATATCAACAGTACAAGTGTCAGTAAGGCTATCATCCCCTTTCAAGCTTCTAGCAACACAATAAAAACCACAGTACCTAACGCACACTAGATCAGTGAGACCATAAAATTCACATAAAATCATGGTATAGGCACTCTAACATAATGAGTAACAATTCCTAAGGGATATGACCCCTTGAGTATTTCTAAGGGCAAAGAGGGAAAGGACCATATGAGAAATCAGAACAAAAAGTTCACTACAGATTTTGAAAGCAGATGAATTAGAATCTGACACTGAATGAAACAGGTATCAGAAATTACACTATGAAGAGACTGGTAAAACATTACAGACAAGATCTGACTGAAACCTCAGTTCTACAAAACAGAACATAAACAACTGCACTTCAAAATGTTTATAGGTACATTGCAAGAAACATTCTTAATAATCTTGTTAGTGTTAAAAATATACACATACAAAATATATTACTATTGTATTTCAAATCTAGCATGCTGTCTTTAATTTAAAAGTATGCTGAGTAACTTTCCAGGCAGTAGTATTTTTTTCTCTTCTAAAGAGAGAAAAAATTACAAAAACAACCCATCTATCTTGTAAGTATTAAGACTACCTAGCTACTGGAAGCTCAAACAATTAATGGACTCAGCATGCAGTATTTAGTAAATAGTAACTACTGCTATTACATCTTATTTCCAAGAAAAATGTGTACACAGTCAATACACAGATATTAAAATACACATTTTTCTTTTAGCAAATTAAAAAGATCTAGATTCCAATACTGTCAGATAACTCAAGCACTTATCAGACTGTTAATTAAAAATCAAGTTCTTATTTTTTAATACATTTGAGCATAATTCTCTGCAGAAGTTTAGTAGGAGGCATCTCTGGGGAGCCAGGCAGTTACAAACTCACCTAAGTATCTGCCATAAGATGTCCCTGTTGAACTTAAGAGTCTATATGGCTTTTTTAGTAAGACTATATATTCATGCCTTCTTTCAATCATACATCTCTACTTAAAATGGTCTGGAAAGTGAGGCTAAATTGTTCCGTGTTTGCTGAAACGGACAGGCTGCCAAAGCCTTACATTCATAGCACTATTTCTGATTTAGGGTCAATGTAAACTAGCCACAAGCCTTTAGTTCCTACACTCTTGTCCAAAAGGTCAGTTCACCATCCATTGAGCATCTAGTCTGGTCACAGGCAGAAGTCCCAATGGGTAACAGCAGGAATGATATGTCCTATTGGCCTTAAACATATATACATTTAACACAACTTCAAGAATACCAGTCATAAAATTTCACCTAATCATAGTGATTATCCCTCACCTTTAACGCTGAAATATTCTGAACTGCCATACAACCTACTCAGCTGTTAACATTTTAGATAATTGCTGCACAGATTATTTTTGTAGTTTATGAACAGGTCTTACAAATTAAGAGCTGTGAAACAGCTTTAAAATACAAGAATTCTACAGTACGTTTGATTCCATTACTTCCTTTTGAATTACAGAAATTCTGAAAACCCAAAGGTTAAATTTTTGCATCTCTTCACACACAGTCAAAAGATAAATACAAATACACAATACAAAATCTGTCTTGGACAAGACAACAGTTTGTTTCCGCAGATTTATGTGCAATTGTCATACGTGCTTACAATTTCAGGTATCCTCTACCCTTTGCTTCTGCACCTGCATTTCCAAATATTTACTCTCAGTCTTAGGATTACAGAAGCTCAAACCAGTTATGAATTCACTGTGAAGGGGGAACATGTCTCTAAGTTAGCCTTCATGCAGCTGAGACACATTCTCAATAACACTTTGGATAAAATATGAGAAAGATGAACACAGTTTTCCTTTAAAAATTGCAAGCCTGTGGTCACCGAAATAGCTCAAAGAACAGGACAAAAAAGAAATATAAAGAGCTGTTTATTTTTGCAATGGTAAATATTTTATATATATATATGCAATGAATAATTTTTTATCTGATGATTGAAAACCACTGCGATGACGCTTCAATAAAACAACTTTACATGGCAAAAAGAGCGGCACATTAGACCACAGAGCTTGTAATGATTTTAAAAGGTCCGCAGGGCAGACCTACTACATTTTATAGAAACCAGGACAGTGGAGAACCGCCGTCAGAGGGCATCATTCATGAATGATTTGCCAAATACGCTGCTGTGAAGTAGCAAGTTATTTTCTAACTCCTACACGGGCTTCTCTTAAAAGTGCCTAAGGTGCTAAATACATCGAAGTAGCCGATCTTTTATTCTGTCAGCACAGGCTTGCAGCTAGGTTACAAACCGAGCGACTCAACGCGGTCCCCGGGAAACTTGACCCTCACGCTGCAGCCTGTCACGGGATCGGGATCAATCCGGACGAGTCCCGCACGGCCGCGGTGGGAGTGCGGTGTCGCCCGGCTCCTCGTCCCCGCGGCCGGTGCGGGGTGCGGGAGGAAGGCGGGATGCGGGATGCGGGATGGAGGATGGCGGAAAGGCGGGATGGCGGGCATCCTGCCCGACAGAACCGCGCGGCAGCTGCCGCCTCGTCCCTCCTGGAGCTCCGCCGCCAGCCCGAGCCCGCACCGCCCCGCTCCCTGCACGCAGGCGCCTCCCTCCCGCCCTCCGGGCAGCGCCGCCGGCGGGACCCTCCCCACCCCCGCCCCGCCGCGGAGAGTTGGCACCGGGACGGACTGAGGGGAGAGCGGATACTTGCCCAGGTGGGGACGAGGAGGCTGCCGGGCCGCTCGAGCGGTGCTGGAGGAGGCTGCTTCCCCGCCACGCTCATCTCCTCCCATGCAGCTGGCGTGGTCCTCTCAGACGGGCGGCTTGGCGGGACGCGGTGCCCCCGGCACCGACTCCCAAGCGCCCGCCCCTCCCGGCAGCGCCGACGTCCCGGCTCCGCGGGGCTCCGCGGGGCTCCGCGGGGCAGGCTGGCTCCGCGCTGGGCTCCGCGCTGGGCTCCGCCGCCCGGGCGGGGCGGGATGGGACGTGGGGGCTCGCCGGAGGCTCGGAGCCAGGAGGGTAGAGGAAGGCGGCGGCGTGGCGCTGGCTATTTAACTTGGCTCTTCTCCGGGGGGAAGGTGCCGCCGCTCCCGCTCCCCTCCCCTCTGCGGCCGCATCCCGACAGCCGAGCTCTGGGTGCTCCTACGAGCGCTGCCGCGCTCCTCCCCGACACCGCACGGCCCCGCTCGGCCCGCCCGCGCCGCCCCGCGGGGCTCCCGCCCGGCGCCACAGCCCGCGGGGCGAGGGCGGGCTGGGGCTTCGGCCCTCCCGCGCCCCTCCTGTGGGAAAAGTTGTCGGGCAAGGGAGCTCTGCTGGGGGAATGTGGGCGATGTGGGGCGCTGTGGGGGTGAGGGCACTGCCACTCCGAGCGCTGCCCCTCCGCTTTTCTGCGGCCATAGCGAGGTCATAAACCACAGCCGCGCACGGCCTCCACCGTAGTAAAGCACATGGCCCTCGCTCGCCGATCTCTGAATCAAAACCAAGAGCAGTTTGGTATCCCTCGAGTATTCTTCGTAGCCTTGGCATGGGATAACGCAGGGCAGTCTATCCTTCCCAAGAGAAGTTCCCAAACATGAATATTGCAATCAGATTTTGATATTATGTGCATCTGAGTTCCTAACCATGGTCTGTGGCCCAGGTTGTCAGTTTTGGGGGAACTTCTTGTAGGTTAGTCGTGGCAATGTTGAGGCTGATCCTAAGAAGAGGTTCATCCTGATCTTTGATGTACTACCTTCTTAGTAGACATATTTTTCTCCTGTCAGGGGAAAAAGGGGAAAGCTGTTAACTTTTCCCATCAGTGTACTTAAAAATATTAGGTTTTTTAGGCATATGCCATTCTCTTTTCTTATCTAAGTGTAATTTGAAAAGGCACCTCCGTTCCCTTTCGAAGCCTCTGCCCTGTCATGCAAAGATGAGAAGCTACCACACGCAAATAGATAATTTTAAAAAGGGTGATTGGAGCTGGCCAGACTTTTTCTAAAGTTACTTTTAAAGGTTTTCTTTTTTTTCTCTCCCTCAAAAGCAGCGGCCACTGCTTTTAATTCTTGGTTAAGCAGGAAAGAAATGTGCATTGTCTTCTACTTGGAGGTAAATCCATACGAAACCTTGCTCCTCACTGCTGTATTTTACCCTAGTATGGACTCCTCCCTCCCTAGGTCTCCCTATCAAAAAATACCTAACATTATCTCCGTCTACTGTTTGATCTTCACATGTTTCACATGTTTGATCTTCACTAGAGCCTTGCAGAAGATGGGAAGAGGTGGACATGAGGACAGTTTTCTCTGTAGGATTATGGAGTTTCAGTTGTTCTCAAGGGGTGCTCGGGGACCTCCACCTGTGCCTGGGTCATTTCCTTTGCTGTGGCAGAGGCCTGGAGTTTGACATGCAGCAAGGAGTCAAATGCTATTCTCCTAAAGAGGTGGAGCTCATACTCAAGCTAATCTGCCCCAATCTATCCTGTGCGTAAAAAGCCATTTATTTCACTCCATGTCTGTAGAAAATTGTGTGACAACACCCTGGCAGTGTGAAATGTTGGAAGAGATGAGATTGGGCCACTGCCACTGCCTAACACTACCATACAAACTTCTGTGCCTGTGGAGTGTTCTGACACTATGGGAGGTATAAGCCTTTCTGTTTAAGGTTAAAGACAATCAAAGAAAGCAAAGCCACACAGATGAGCTGCAACTTGTTTGGAGATGGATTGCTCCGGGCTCCATGGACTGGGAGTTGCCAGGAATCAGCAAACACCAGCAGCAGTCCTGATGAGTATTTAGTATGGACAGTAGTTTTGCTGTGACTACTAACTTGTTATCACATCTAGCATTGCTTCTCATGGTTCTTCTTCATGGTCTCCCTTCATAAATATGATGCATAAGTGGGGATTTAGAAGTGGAGATGCAAGTTAATGTAAATACAAAATAAATAGCATAGCGGTATGATAATGTACAGGGAATATATATGGGAAATGACTTACAGAGATAAGTAGAATAGAAAAACCTTACTTTCTGGAATTTTTCTATTTACCTACAATTTGTACTTTTAAAACTTAAAAGTCTTTGTCAGTTGGACAAAATATATGACTTCCTGAGCAGCTTATCTTAAGATTGACACTTACATAAATGATTTATGGAATTTACCAAAAACTGGAGAGAATCAGACAGCTTATGAACTATTAATGAAATTATAAAATTTCTTTATGAAATTAATGAGTACACATCACTGAATTATATTTTCTAATGGTATTGCTGTACTGAACATGGGTACATATAATTTGGGGGAGGATTAGGAAAAAATATTAATTACTTCGAACTTAATTTGAGCTAAGCCAGTTTGTGATAGTCTCATCTAATGCTTTTCTTTATTTCAAGGGATGATCAGGTTTAATAGCTTAAGAAATGTATGAACTTTTTAGGAGTTGATACCTTGTTCATTTTGTTAGTAGTGGAAAGCTTATATGCGATTTTCCCTTTCTTGTGTTTGTATTTTTTCAGTTTCACTGCATCTCTGATCCTGCAAAAGGTTTTGCTTTTGCCATTTCTGAAATAAAGCAAATTGGAAGCCAGTTGTCAAGTAGATATTTTAGTGATGACAGTTTTTATTTCTCTGGATTACATTAAATCCTATAATTTGGAACTTTTAGCCTACGAGATTTTGTAAAAATCTACAAAATATCAAGAAAGTAATCATACAGAGAGACAAAGGTTCAAGAGAACGTGAAATGTTTTCAATAATCATGATTTTAAGTCAAACCTATGATTTTAGGATGTTACATTAGATAATGCCCAGGAAGTTTCATTAAGGTCTGACTTGGCTGACAACAGGAAAATTGCAAACTGTGCAAAAGATTTTAATAAAATCAGCGTGCATGAAGACAGATGCAAACTGCTGAATCCGGAGATATCGTATTACAGACCTGTCTTTATTTCCTTCTCTTTTCCTGCACACGCTTGCATTTGTACATTCAAACACACACAGGGGTGATACGTGGCTTAGAGAATGGAAACAGGAGACTATTAGCACTAAAACAATAAATAATTTATTTTACTAAGCCAACTAGATGTCAAGGTTAAAGGCTTTTTCAAGAGAAGTGGATGAAAGAGTATAATTTGTTTTTTCCAGGAGGTGTAGGTATGCAAACATGTCTGTCTACACAAAAACATTCACAAAGCTAGTGAAGGAATTTGTTGTCTTTATATAAACTCCAAGATTTACAGATGCAGTTTTACTTTTTAGATGTTAATATTTCCTGTATTAATCAGAGAAAAGGCCCTTTTGTAAAATTTCAGTGCTTTGTGAACTTCATTATATTTAATATTTTACTACCAAAACAAATGCTCCTCCATTTAATTTTATATTGTGGGGTGAGATCAAAGCTATGGGGAAGGAATACTAGTTAGAAGTTTCTGACTTAGAAGCTGTATGTAAGGCGTGGTGAAAATGCCACATCCCAAGGAAACTGGTGCCTCTCTTGATGAGGATGCTGTCATTTAGACACCAGTACCTGCCAGTTTAGGAGAAGGAGTTGAGAAGACACTAGTATGCTGACAATCAGCATTAGACCTCTATCTCGATCTGCTCTCCACTTGCCATTTTTATTGTGTCAAGCTTATGAGTGAGGGGCAAATTAAGGGAATAACAACTAGACAGTCTATCAGAGGACAGTAATGTTCCAGAGGCTGCTTAAAATATGCACCGATAAATCACTAAAATTTACAGGTATTTTCTCTTGCTTCAAAGGACCAACAGTTCCTTGCTCTCACGAATCTAGAATATGTATCAAATACCCTGTAACTCGCTGTCCCAGAAATTTCCTCAGTTCATTGCGTAGGGTAAGAAACCGCAACTATACATAGGGCAGTAACAAACTGGAAAGAGACAGTAAAATTTTCTGTAACATCAAATGAAAGCAAGAGACTGCTGTATTTCAAACAGGCAAGAGACTGCTGTGTTTCAAACAAACAAACAAAAACCTTCCTCGAACAATTGTTCACTGAGAAAGGGTGATTGAAATAAGCATCTCATGCTTTCAGGGCAGACAGCTTGAACAACATGTGGGAGAGATGGTTAAAAAGTTTGCTGAACTGTCCCTGCTCCTGACCCCCTTGTTGAGGCATAGGTACACCTTAGCAAAGCACCCTGCTGCCAAAGTTAAGGATTGGCTAGGGCAAACCAGTGCTATTTTGGCTGTCACTGTCGCAGGAATGAGTACTGACTGCATCAATCAGGAGTTCAGTATCCCAGGCTGTTCGAGAGAGCAATTCGTCATTGCTGCCCTGAGCAAGTTACTATGAAAGATGATCAAAAATGGGTAACTGAGTGACTGGACATCTGAAAGATATATTCCCAGTGGGTGTTTACAGAGGGATAGTGAACTGATCAGTATGTATTCTTCAAAATCAGACGGTTTTGATAACACTGAAAACATCAATGTAGACTTCCAGTGCTTATCACTGCCTCAGGAAAAGAAGAAAGTAGCACGTGGCAAGCAATTGGCTAAATGGCACTGTGGAACCCAGCAGGATTTTAGTACTGCTTCTTGTAGGTGCTGCTAAAATACTCATTCTTATGTACTGTCTTTTTTCACTTGCTTGTCCTTGAAATCTGCCTTGTATTACCAAACGGAGGAGCTGATGTTCTGCAAACTGGAGTATTCTGTGTGAGCTGGTTCTCTACAGACAGCAGCATGCCAAGACATTCTCTGGAAGCTGCCAGTATGCAAAAGGGAATATGGTATTTTATGGCCAAAGAAAGCACAAAAAAGTACTCAGCTTGGGAGAGGGTGAAGAGGTGAGTTGTGGGAACCTGTCATTACTCAGTTTTATCCAGAAATTGCTTGGCATCACAATAGTTGCTGGTTCTGGAAACAGACACTAGAACGTAGAAATCCCTCCTTCTTGGAAAGTGCCCATCACAGTGTGATAGCATGTGATGCTCTTTTCAGCTCTCCCTTTTGCACTGGTTTCTGTTCTTTACGTTTGGTAACTAATGTATAAGATGAATTGTGAGGTATTTGTCATATCACATAGTTTGTTTGCTTAGATTCATTATTTATGTTTCAACAGTACTTGGCCAAAATCTCTTCTATCATATAAATATATGCAAGTAACCAACCAAGACTCATTTAATTAAGAAAGAAAATGTGTTTCACAAAGAAAGTAAACTTGTTTGTAAGTCAAAACAGTAGTAGGTTATAATCAGTGAA